CCATCGACTACAGTCCTCCCGACATCCGTCGCATACGACTATGGTCCTTCCGACTTACATCGCCCACCAACTACGGTCCTTCAAACCAATGAACACATCAGTAGTGATTCTTTGTATTTTCATCATGTAATGTACTCTATAAGATGTTCATCAAGCTAACGCTTTTCCCCAGGGGAGGGACTCATTTGTAATCAACTGCAATACTAGTGGATTCATTCAAATTAGTTAGGCCCTGTGGTTTTCCCCCTTTTCTGGGGTTTTCCACGTAACAATCTTGGTGCCTCTAGTGAATGATGCACCCTCTCTTTTTATCTGATTGTGTGTCGGATTTTTGTACAAGGCTAAGACATTAAACTTTATATTTCTCCGCCGCTATGAATACTCCATGACGCAACAAAACACACAAAGATTAATATGCATAATCCATTTCTTGAAGTTTCCCCTTACGGAAGTCACGACAACCCTCTCTCTCTCTCTCTCTCTCTGAGCACTGGGCGATAATGATGAAAAATTGAAATCTATCACATATGATGAACTTGCCCACCTAGAGTAGAGCAGGATACGTTTCTATGGTGCTTCAGGGATATCCTATATTCCTACCCATTGAAGATGGAGGTTCTTGGATGGCCCGTACATGCACGAGCAACCGCTCCATCCATGCGTCACTGGCAGAGAACTAGCGGGCTGATTTGCGAAATGATTTAACAAAGATGAATCTGAGCCCGATTAATTTACGCGCTTTTCTATTAAACATGCTCTGAAACAAACAATTGAGGCCCATAAGAGCATAAATAACCGATCATGGTAGGCTATGTAGGAACCTATATTCTGGTATCATAAGATGATGTTGGCCCAAGCTTTAAAGCTTTTAGAATGTCCTAAGAAAACTGTCCCAAACGAATCCTAAATTTGAGAGGTCGAACCAAGGGATTTAGTAAATCCGGGATTTAACTTGCGCACAATAATCGTTTGACTGGTTTTAGTGTAGATCCGACTTAAATCCCAAACTGCCCCTAAATCTGGAATATGTGAACAATTATTAGGTCAGGTGTCTTGACGTAGCTCTACGTTCGGACGTCAATAACATGTCGCCACGTGCTCTTACATTTTACCGCGTGGCCCGACCCGGACCGGAACATGGTATTGCTATGTTCGGTTATTGTTAGGTATTGCTCTTTAATTATGGAGTGGATCGTCTCTTCCGTCTGCCTTCTCCAATGCTGATGCTGATGATTTCTTATGCCTGAAGCTTTGACCATGAACGCTCTCTTTCTTTCTCTCTCTCTTTCAAATTGGGAAAAATCGAAAATGAAAAGTGATCTTACCCTTGTTAGGAATGTTTCCAATGTGCTTCAGATATCGCAATGCTCCTCTTGCAGTGGTGCCGTAGCAGCTTGGATGGCCCGCTAATCTATGGGAAACCGCTGCATCTGCGTGTCGCTGTTATAGAACAAGTGGGTAGATCTGCTTGATGATGGAAGCAAGGCAAATCTGAGTCCTAAACTTTCACTTTCTTTGCCCACCTTTTCTGAAACAGATTTTCCTGTTGTCTGCTGAAATACATGAGTGATGCAGTGTGATGCTTCACCCCAAAATTAATCTCATCTCTAACTCGGTTAAGTTGCTGTTTAAATCCAGATTTTTTCAATGCTGATGATTTTTTTTGCCTAAAGCTTTGATCATGCTCTCTCTCTCTCTCTCTCTCTAGATATTGAAATCCAAAATGTAGAGCTATCTTACCCTGGTTAGGAATGTTTCCAATGTGGGATATACCGCAAAAAGAGGGAAAGGGTGGATTTAACTTGCAGTGAGATATACAGTTGAAATTTGCATGTAAAGTTGAATTTCAGTTTATTAAATCCTACTAGAGTTTAATCATACTTCTAAGCCAAACAACATTTACTTTGGCGATGGTAGTTATTGAACATTCACCATGGAAGACAATTCTTCACCACTCTATTGATGATTTGAATTGGTTTGGATGGCGCTTTAGTGATTGTAATGCTTCTCTGCTATTCTCTTGCATTGCCACGGAGCAGTTTGGAAGGCCCTTGCATATGTTGCAATCTCCATGGTGATGAATTAATGGATGGATTGTCTATACTCTTATTGATGACTTGATCGCCCGAAGTCACAAATCCCCCACTATATCTTTTACTTAAATATTACACTATATATATTCAGTTTTAAATCTACTCAAACGGAAACATTCAGACTCTAGTGTGGATTATTTCTTAAGATTTTACCCAGTTGAAGTCTATCCTTTTTCTCCTACACCATCGAGTTATCTATATATTGATGACACAAGATGATTGAGGCCCAAAGACTTACCTAGTAATGCTTCTGTAAGAGGGAATGATTGTCAACAGGGCTTTATAAAAAGTATCCAAGGATTTTAGAGGTTTTTCATTTTTTTATGAGGAGAATCTCTTTCAAAATTGATGCTTACTCTATCTTGGATAGTCAATAGTCTTTGGGATAACTTTTGGGGGATTTACATACATGGCATTTTATTTCATGCTATTTACATATCTAACACTTAACTTTAATATTACATGTCTATCATCCATAGAACAAAAATGAGTGCATGGGATATATTTTGGGCTCCAAAAATTCCATGTTGCGCCCCCGGCCTCTCTGCCAACGGTGATGTGAATCATTGTAGGAATTGCATTTGGAAAATAACATGAAAGTTATTCAAGGCGAAGATTTGCTTTGAGATAACCAAACAATTCATAACACTCCCAAAATAAAAGATCTACTTAATTGCTCATAACAAAAATCCCACAATTAATAATGAAGAATTTCACCTTGAGTACCCTCTCTCTCTCGTTCACTCTTGGGCTTTAGCGAAGAAGAAAGAACCATGCGAAGATGAGGAGCACCACTACGGAAAAGGCGACGAAAGACTTTGTTACCGAAGAGGTATTCGACGGGGAAGGTGGTGGCGGATGGCGTCCGATGATCATCCAAGTGTAGCCACGAAACTGTCGGTCGAAGATACTTGCGAGAATCGGGACGACTCGCTCCAAGTACTCTTCGATTGTGGCATCGTCTTCAAATCCTACGTCAAAGCAAGGAGAACGTAGGACATCAATGCTCCCGTCGGCGTGGAATACTAATCCCCATTCAAGCTCCGGATCCGCCATTTGACATTGAAGAAGGGAGGGAAGGAGACAAGAGAAGGGATTTGCGCCGTGAGCTATGGAGAGGATTGGAGGGAAAATCTAAAGTTAAATTTCAGATTTTGGGCGGGGAAGGAGAAGTTATTTGCTCTTAAAATTTCCGTTAATTAGGTGGGAGAGAGGGGCGATTAAGGAGGGAAAATTAAGAGGGTGATTATGGGGTGCTTAGGTGGCAAGTAGAGAGAGAAAATTAGGTGGAGTGGCCGGCCAAGCAAGAAGAGAAAAAAGGATTTTATTTAATTGGAGGGGCCCACGGTTTGATTAAATCCTGAATTTAATTTTCAGTTTTTTTTTAATCAAGGGAGTTTTGAATTTGAATTCAAAAGGCTAAGATTTCATTTAAAACTCTTCCTAAATTTAGGGCGCTATTTTAGGAAAGAATTAAAAGAAAACTTAATGCATGAATTTCGAAATCCAAGGGGGAGAGGGGCGGGATTTCTCCCTGGAAGCATTTGGACGCCTACATAAGGGCGAAATCGTCACTAGTACATGAAATAAAAGATACATAAAATAAAATAACTTAAAAATGACATGACAACATCAAAAATAATAACTCCCGATCGTAGCCGTCGATCTACGATTCCTTCGCCGATAAACCTGCCTAAAATGTCTGTCGATGACCTCATCAAACGGTCTCTTTTCTTATTTGTGATTCTCCTATTTTACAAGATTTTCTTTTGTATTACTTTGATAATTCTTCTAATGTATCGTAGTTTCACTTCATGTAGTATAAGAACTATTATGTTACTTACTCTTGATTTTAGTGGCTGGCTTTGATTTGTAGGCTTCAAATTGCTGATAAGCTATTGATAAGGGGTATTCATGCTCTTTCTACTAGCCACTTATGCAAAATTTTTGAAAATTATATTGCTCATCTTTTATTTGAGTGTGATTTCTCCTTTGGCATCATCTTGTGTTTTATTCTCAGATTAGAGAGAAGCTATTGTTGCTGAGACATCTAAATGGAAGAACTTTTGTGAGGTTATGCATATCGTGAACTTATGGAATGGCCTATGCTGGAATAAGTTGTTTTTATTCTATCTGCTTATGGAAGTTTCTGTTGCTTCTAGCGATTGGCAATTTTCTCTATATGATTTTTAAAGGCCTTGGTGATCGTGGTCTTCGATTCTGTGGGTTTCATTGGATTGGAAAATTTGGGAATTTTTTCGCAAGTCTGTGATGATAGCTATTGAGTATTCGTGCAGTGTAATTTTTCGATTGTATCACCAGAGGATGATGAATATTTTGCTTTATTCAAAAATTTTCACCTTGTACGGCACAATCATAAGTTTTGTTTTTCTTGTCATATATGATTGCTTTGGCGATCGTGGTCTTCCACACTATCGAGCTCAATTTGTTAGTCTAAACGCAAGCTCGAGCTAGCTCATCGAGCCGCTTAGTTTTGGGTCTGGTTTCAATTTCCCTTACGGTTTTCAATTTCCTGCATGGTTTCTCGCACGGTTTTTGGTTTCCCTCCCGATTTTCATGTTCCCACCTGGTTTTCGTGTTCAATTGGATATGCCCCTCTAGCATATCTATACAAATAGAATAGTCTATTTATATAAAAAGGTAAAGGGGCCCCCTCTGTTCTATAGATCATAGATTATAGAGGTCTATCCAAATAGGAAACAAGATTTTCTCCTTTTTTTGGGAAAATTTGGGGCGAGGCCCGTATATTGAATATACCAAAATTACAGAATTACAGATACAGAAAAAGTGGCTAGAAAACTAGCCAAAACTATACCCAATAACCCCAATGAAAGAACCACAAAAAGGAAAACGCAAGCAAATGAGAGAAAAAACAAAAATCAGGACTCAGTTAGCCTTGGAGACTGCCCAAGGACAAACAAACATCAAAGCCAGAAAGCTCATAAGTCCAGTGCCAAGAGAAAACGTCGCAACATTCTCCCTGGTTGCCAATGAAGAACAGCACCATAGTGGAGCAGGGTGCACGCGAAGCTGCCAGGCCAAACAAAATGCCACAGGTAAGAAGAACTCCAAAGGCCATCCAAAGGGAGAGGCACAAGGGCAGCTCCAGTCATCATCGTCCGATCACAAAAACCAATCCCAAAATATTCATGCATCCAAAAGCAGCACAAGAAATAGCCGTGTAACCAACTGCCAACCAAAAGGAGGGGGGAGCCAACCCCAAACGCACGGTTTGAACTGCAGCAAAACCAACCAGCAGAGATTCTATTCGCATGAGTCAATTGATAGCAGCAATTTAAGTACCTCCTCCAACAAAACCACCGTCCAGCAATAAGATGATTCTTAGGGGAATAATTTCTCTCAAAAAATTCAATAAAGAATCTCCAGTAAGCCCAACATCCACCGAACCAACAACCAGCCTTCAAATAAAACATTGAGGAAAAGAAATAGAAAGCATTTCCCTATTCTTCCTCCCAGACCATTTCCTAGAGATAGCCAAAACCAAGTTTCGGCACAAGACCTGAGTAGTGATATGAGATTCCGAGAATCTCCTATTATTCCGCTCTCTCCAAATAAAATAAACAGAAGCACAAATGATAGAAAAACATAAATTCTTCTCCACCTTGTTATAAATGCATAGCTCATCAATAAACTCAAATAACTGCAGAATAGTAGGCCTAAACAAAAAGGAATCCAACACAGGAAGAAGATGTGTGATAACAGCGAAAGAGTAATTGCATTGGAAAAAGACATGGGATCCAGATTCATCCCCAAACCGGCACAGAGGACAGTTTGCATCAATAAAAATATTTCTCCTGGCTAAGATGTCAGCCAACTTAAGACCACCACGAATTAAAAGCCAGGAATAAGATGAAAATCTAAGAGCTGCCCTTTTATGCCAGATAAAATGATGCCAGTTAACCTTTTGTCTCCCTTCGAAATAATTCAATCTAAAAACTTTAAAATTAGGTTTTTCAGTACCAATCCAAGTAATGGAACCACAAGAATTTTCCCGCACAGAAGTAGCAAAAATGCTATGCCGAACCTCAAGAGGGAGGAATTCCGGCACAGCCCAAAGAGAATTCCAGAACATCGAAATAGGCCCCAATAGTTCAGATGAAAAGGGGACAATGTCAGCCAAAGAAGTGCCATTCAACCAAGGATCCCAATAAAAAGAAATTTTGCTGCAATTATCAACATTAACCGTGATATTTAGATGTCCTTTAAGCTTGTTAGCCACCCCACAAATAAATTTCCAATACTTTGAGCACTTATGAGGAGCAGGTTTAAAAGGGGAAGTAAATCTATGTCTATACCAATCAAAGACCAAAGAAGAGGAGTTAAAAAACCTCCAAATGAAAGAACCAGCAAAACCATGGGCAAGAGAGGCCAAGTCAGGGATACCCAAACCCCCAAAGCAGGTAGGAAGGCAAGTGTCCTTCCAAGCAATCAAATGTAATTTTTTCCCCTCTTTATCACCATGAAAAAGAAATCTAGAGCACATTCTATCAATAGATTTACAACAAGACTTTGGTATTATAGCGCCCCTGATCCAATAAGCGATAGTGTTAGCAATGGTGAATCTCAAGAATTGCACTCGACCTGCAAAAGAAAGAAATTTTACTTTCCAACCAGCAAGTAGAGTAGAAATTCTACTCAGTAGTGGTTGGAAGTGAGAAGAATTAAGCTTTTTGGTGGAAATAGGCAAGCCCAAGTACTTGAAGGTATGATCGACGGCAGAGAAACCAAGAATGTCCATGATGTCATTAGCAATAGTAAGGTTTTTGGAGAAGAGAATGGAGCATTTGTTGTTATTGATATGCAGCCCCGATGCCATAGCAAAGTTGTCTAAAATCTGAGCAAGCTCATTAGCATTAGGAATAGTGGCCAACCCAAAAACTAAGACATCATCAGCATAGAGAAGGTGCTTGAGGGAGGAAGACCCGAGAGGAATCCCCAAGAATGAACTAGAATCCAAGAAGCACGAAAAGGCATCCATAACGATCGCAAAGAGAAGTGGAGATAGAGGGCAACCTTGTCTTAAACCAGCAGAAGAGGAAAAAAACCCTTGGAGAGCACCATTAATACAAACTGAAAAAGGGACATCACAAATGCATGCTTTAATCCACGAGATGAACTTTTCAGGAAAACCTTTCATCCTCATCCTAGCAATCAAAAAATCCCAAGACACCGAGTCAAAGGCCTTACGGATGTCCAATTTAGCACAGAGAAATTTCTTGTTAGAAGAACCATTAAAATCTTGGAGAATTTCGTTAGCCAGGATAATGTTATCCGAAGCTACCCTCTCAGAAATAAACCAGCTTGACTCTTGTGAATAATATGTGGCATGATAATCTTAAGCCGATTAGCAAGAATCTTAGTAATGATCTTATAAAAGACATTACAAAGTGAGATGGGCCGGTAATCGGAGATATCAGAAGCATGAGGATGCTTAGGGATGAGAGCAATCGCCGTGGCTTTAGCATACCTGGGAAGGTGGCCCACAGCAAAAAAATTTTTAACTGCATTAATCACATAAAGGCCAATAATCTCCCAAGAGCCCTTAAAGAATTCAAAAGTAAAACCATCGGGGCCAGGCGAAGAGTTGGATGGCCCACCAAAAACAATTTGTTTAATTTCCTGGTCTGTTACATTCTCAACCAATAAAACAGACAAGTGAGAAGGAACCAAATCACCATTAGGATAGTTGATCTCAAGAATGCCATAAACCTTTGGAGGATTATAAATGTTGTTGAAGTACTTGCAAATTGCATTGACAATATCCGTAGGAGAAGTGAAATGACCATCATCCGTAGTAATTTCATGAATTTTGGAAAAATTAGCTCTAGTGTTGATGCGGGCATACAGGAACCCCAAATCATCTTCCCCATGTTGCATCCATTTAGCCTTAGCTCTTTGAATGATCCAAGAGCACCATAACCCTTGAAGTTTAGAAATGTTAGCATTGATATCTTTCAAAGAAGCATTGAGAAGGGGATCCCTTGGATTATGCTGTAAAAGTTCAAGGCAAGTGTTCTGGCTTTGATTCAAGGTGGCAAGTTCCATCTTAACCACATGATCCTTAGACCATTTCATCAATTTTAGGTTAGCTTTTAAATATCTGAGCTTGCCATAAAGGTTAGCAATCGGGCTGCCATTATGATGTGAAGCAAAAGAGGAAAGGAGGAGGGCCCAAAACTCATCCAACTTCAGCCAGTAATTTTTGAATTGAAATCTTCTTGCCAAATTAGAAGGGGGACCATCCAAAAGGAGCAAAAGGGAATGGTCAGAGCAGCCCGGAGCAACAACCTTATAATAAGAGTTGGGAAAAGTATCCATCCAACAATGATTCACAAGCATTCTATCTAACTTGATGTGAATAGGGTCATCAGCACGACCATTAAACCAAGTGAAATTCAGACCAGATGAGTGAAGCTCATTGACACCAGAGCTAAAAACCCAACTATTCATCTCCCCCATTCTATTGAAGTGCGAAGCAGCACCTCCAGATTTATCTTTAGGATCTCTAAAACAGTTAAAATCTCCCATAATAATCCAGGGGGAAGAGATCGAATCAGCCAAAGCAAGGAGCTGCTGCCAGAGGAGGCCCCTCTCCAAAGGGGTGTTAGCAGCATAAACCACAGTGATAAGAAAAGGAGATTGGTTGCCAAAAGAGAGGTAACCATGGATGAATTGGGCATTAGAAAGGGTAGGAGAGAAAGAAACAGTGGAAGAGTTCCACTTAATCCATATACGGCCATAGGATGAGTGAGAGAAATTGTTGCAGCTAAGCTCGTTATGAAACACTTTGTGGGTATGACAAAACCAAGGGTCCAAAAGGGATTGAGAGGAGATTTTGGCTTCCAAAAGACACAACATATCAAGGTGGTGGGAGTTGGCTAAGTTCTTCGAAGCTAGAACCTTATCCGGATTGTTAAAACCACGGATGTTCCAGCAACCAATATTGGGAAGGGTCATTTAGACTTGTTGGATGGTAGAGGTGCCTTCTTTGCACCCTTGGACCTTGTGGTTTTAGCATGCTGGGATTTCTGCGAAGAGCCCAAGTCAGGATTATCAACAGTTTTTTGACGTTCCCCAGCTTGGTGGGCAATGTTCGGTGGGTCATCCAAAGCCAAAATGGAGAATTTATTAGGAGAAGTCAAAACAGGAAAATTTTCCCTACTCCTCTCAAAAGAAGAAATAAGGGCTGTGTGAGAAGAAGAGACATCCTCAGGAGGGTTAAGAAGAGAATTAGTGGAGGTGGAGTGATCTGAAGAGGAGAGATCCTCCCCAGGAGAATTGAGGTTAGGAATGGAGACGTCAGCAGATGGCGCCAACTGGATAGGAGGTTCAGTGGTAGGGATGTTAGGTGGAGGTAGAATTGAAGCACGACTAGCATCCGGGAGTGAAGAGGAGGTGGAATCAGGTGACACGTTGATGATGGTAGAATTGTCGGGTGGAGGTAAAGAAGCTGTAGGTGGATGATTCGGGGAGGAATTTGCTAAAAGAACCGAGGAAGGAAGAATAGCAGGCAGAATAGGAGGAGCCTGGGCAATGAGGGGATTCTGAGTGGGAATCGAAGAAGGTTGTGGTTGTCGTGCCCGACTGGAGCTTCTTCCACGATGTTTAAATTGCTCAGGCGGTTTGGGCTGAGGATTGTTTGGGCAAAGATTGGATGGATGTACGAGGGAGCGGCAACCCGAGCAGGGAGTGGGTTTCCAGTCGTATAAAACCTTGAGAGAGTATTCATCGCCATCCATAGAAATGGGAATTTCATCAGGAAATGTCGAATCAGAGTTAACCATAACACAGACTCTGGCATACGTTAGACGGGTTTTCCTTGCCGTAAGTGCATCAACAGCAAGAGGCTTGCCCACAAAACTAGCAATTTTAGAGATTCCAAGCGGGTTCCAGACAGCTAACGGGAGGTCAACAATCTTAATCCAAATTGGAATCGAGCTGCAATCTTCCCGTTTTGGCTTAAATTTGGGATTCCATTTATGAAGGATAAAAGGCCGCCCAAACAAAAACCAAGGTCCACCGGACCAGACATGCTCAAAATCTTCCGGCAGAGAAAACTTAAACAAAAAGAAACCATCGTTCAGAGAAAGGAGGTCGACCGAACCTTTGATAGCCCAAACCTTTTTTATGGCGTTTTGCAAGCTGAGGTAGGTAGGACGAGGGCCAACAGAATACCCGACCAAAGAAAGCCCCCAATCCGGAACTCCAAGGCTGAGATCAGCAGCACTGAACGGCACCCTAGTCGTGGGGTTGATGAAGGAAACTTCGAACTTTGAGGCCACCGGGTCGTGATTTGTAAGATTGGAAATGAAATCAAGACCAGACGGCGCACTAGCAAGGGGGGCCACCGAACCGGGAAGAGGAGGGAAGTCGTTGAGGTAGGAGGTGGAAGCCATGAGAAGGGAAGGGGAGAAAAAACCCCCTCCCCGCGGGGGCGGGAGGGCAAAAAACGGCGGGAGGAGATCGCTGGGGTTTCGCACGGGAGAAACCCTAAGCGCTCTCGAAAAAAACTATTCGATTCGAGAGACAACCTCCAATGTTGTCTCAATACATCATATTTAGGTCAATGGTGACGTTCAATGAGCATAGGGAAGTTTTTAATGTCAAAACTATAAGATGTTATGTTCAGTGGCATAGACTATGAATATTTGAAGACTTTATAATCTATGGAAATACTTTGAGTTTTAGGGTTTATGGATCTTAAAATGCATTCAAATTTATGTGGTTAACCCTAGGGAAATGTCAAATCAATATGCAAGTGATATTAAGAATCCAAGGTCATTGGTCATGTTTGAGGACAGAATTTTTTTTCTCTAAAAATAGATTATCAACTAAAGGATTTTAGGTTTGTTTCTGACACTCAATTTTGGAGTTTTAGAATTTAAACCGGATTTGATTTA